TAGAGTTATGTTTTACGCTCCAATCCCGGGAAGCCAACTGGAGAAGGGAAGTCATGAAGCACCGGGGCTGCTGCCTATATGACTCTTCCCCTAGAAGCAAGGTTGTTGAGGAAGATCCTGATAAACACTGGCTCAGCACCGGCGAGGAATTGTTCTCCGTACTGTACCCCCGTTAGCCACCAAAAAAGAAAAAAAAAACTAAAAAAGAAGGGAAAAAGGAGGGAAAAAAAAAGAAAGGGGAAAAAATCAAGAAAACAAAAAGAAAAAAAAAGGAAAAAAGAAAAGAAACAAAAAGGAGCCCATCGAGGCTGAGTAGGGAAGGAGAACGGGAAGGAGAAACTAGTTTTGGAGGAAGTGCTATTCCTAGGAAAAAATCAGGACCCTCTGCTTCCCACTCCTGCCTGGATGTAACTTCTTATGCGGGGGCCTGACGGTGTCAAAACTTTAAAGATTAATGGATTACTTTGTTAATGACTCAAGGCGTCAGATTGAGGTGCTTAAATGATTTGTGAGGTGCAAAGCGTTTTCCTGACAGTCCCAAACAATGAGAGAAGAGTGTGCGGGTGGATGCGAGGGAGGCTGCAGGACAAGCAGCCACACACACACACACACACACTCGCGCACACACACACACTCACAGCCTCTCACACAAATATATCCACGCACATGCACCCTCCCCCTACCCCCGATCACTTCAGATTAGGACGCCAAGGGGATAGATACTCGACATATCATTTCCCTCTTTAAAAAAAGTGTAAATAAAGCCTTTCTGGCCCCCAATGAGGCGTTCCTTCCCGACTTTTTTGGATCAATCAAACAGACAGTGGCTTCTTTTGATTAAAGCCCAAATTGTCATTGGGCAGAGGCAATCATGTGACAGCCAATTCGGTCCAATTTCAACCTTGTCTCCATGAATTCAATAGTTTAATAGTAGCACGGTCCCCATACGGCTGTAATCAGTGAATTAGAAAAAAAACACCCCACCAGCGATCTTCTATGCTATATTTTTTTCTCCTCTCTCTCCTTTTTCTTGGGCCTTCCCCCCCCCGAGCCCCCTGAATCCGAGGGAACTTTTTCTCCGCGGGGGCTGCCAGTTGAAGGCCATGAATTTCGCATTTGAGCGAGAGATCGGTTTTATCAATAGCCAGCCATCGCTTGCTGAGTGCCTGACATCTTTTCCCCCTGTCGGTGATACATTTCAAAGTTCATCAATCAAGAACTCGACGCTTTCACACTCGACACTGATTCCTCCTCCTTTCGAGCAGACCATCCCCAGCCTGAACCCCGGCAGCCACCCTCGCCACAGCGGCGGCGGTCGCCCCAAGGCGAGCCCCCGCGGCCGCAGCGGCAGCCCGGGCCCCGCGGGCGCCCCGCCACCCCGGAGTACCCCTGGATGAAAGAGAAAAAGGCGTCCAAGCGATCCGCGCTGCCGCCCGCCTCGGCCTCCGCCTCAGCCGCTGGACCTGCCTGCCTCAGCCACAAAGGTCAGTCCAAAGACGTGCCGCCGGCCCCGCCGGGCCGCTATTTCGGCTCCCCGCATCCCCCCGGCTTCGCGGGGGGACGAGAAGGAGGGCGGGCGGCGGGAAGGACGGAGCTGGCGGTGAGCGCTGGAAACCCAAACTTTCCCCAAACTTGCTTAATGCGGGATGATTTATTTGAGTTGGAGCTGACCTCTCTTGTCTCGCCGTCCTAGAGTTAGGATATTTGACAGTAATGAAGAGTGATAGATTGCTCCCGCTCAGCTAAGCAGCTGATGCATTAATTATAAATTGCGGTATGGCTAATATAAAGTTTGCTCTGGTGTGGGGAGGTTGGGGAGCTGGAGGCAGCGATTTGGCAGAGGTGGCCGAGGGGCACGCAGCACAGGGCGCTCAGCAGTGCAACACAATGGGTTTACTGCATCCAAAGGCGGCCATTTTGTTGCAGTTGCTATTTTATGCTATATGGACATATAGATATAGACACATACATGCAGAGAGAGCACTCCCGCCCACCCCCCCGGGGATGCGATGTGCTCGGGTGCTGAAATTCAATCCGTGCATTTATCTGTTTTGTGTGTGCGTCCGTGTGTTTTTGCTTTTGCTGTTCTGGCGGTGATGCTTTGGGGTGCGTGTGGTGGTGGTGTTTTTCTTTTTTTTTTTTCTTTTTTTAACAGACCCCCTTGAAATCCCCGATAGCGGTAGCGGTGGATCTAGGCGCCTGAGGACGGCTTACACCAACACCCAGCTTTTGGAGCTAGAGAAAGAATTTCATTTCAACAAGTATCTCTGTAGACCAAGGAGGGTTGAGATTGCAGCCTTGCTGGATCTGACTGAGAGACAAGTCAAAGTCTGGTTCCAGAACAGGAGGATGAAGCACAAGAGACAAACCCAGTGCAAGGAGAACCAAAACGGCGAGGGGAAATTTAAGAGCCTAGAGGACCCCGAAAAAGCGGTGGAAGAGGAGGAGGAGGAAGAGGAGAAATCCCTCTTCGAGCAAGCCCTTAGCAACGTCTCCGGTGCTCTCTTGGAGCGGGAAGGCTACACTTTCCAGCAGAATGCCCTCTCCCAGCAGCAGGCGCAGAATGCGCACAATGGCGAATCCCAAACTTTCCCCGTTTCGCCTTTAACGAGCAATGAGAAAAATCTGAAACATTTTCAACATCAGTCACCCACTGTTCAAAACTGCCTCTCAACAATGGCCCAGAACTGTGCAGCTGGCCTGAACAATGACAGTCCTGAGGCCCTAGATGTCCCTTCTTTACAGGACTTTAGCGTTTTCTCCACAGATTCCTGCCTACAGCTTTCAGATGCGGTTTCCCCCAGTTTGCCAGGATCTCTGGACAGTCCCGTAGATATTTCTGCTGACAGTTTCGACTTTTTTACAGACACACTCACCACAATTGACTTGCAGCATCTGAATTACTGAGAAATTAAAGACGTCCTCTCCAAGGGTCCCGCTTTCTCCTCATTATTACTTTTTTTCCCCTCCAGTGAATTAATTTTATTTTTTCCCCTCCCTTTCCCTTGTCAGTATTTTCTGTTTGTTACTTCCCTCTGCTATGCCATTTTGCCATTTTTTATGAAGTTTTAGTTGTGTTCAATTTTAACCTAGCCACATTCTAGGTCCTTCTATGAAAGCAATATATGAGGTCTGTAAGAAAGTGATCATATAGGAATGTATCTTCACTTTCTTTTTATTTTTGTATTGCATTAGGATGCATTGTCATAAGTATTTTTGGTAGAATAAATTCTTGTTTGCTACAAGGAGCTTTCTCTTTTTTCTTTTTCTAACTCCCCTCTTTTTCTCGCCTTTCAAGACTGATAACATGATGGGTATCTCTCCCCATCCCTTCCACTATTAATTTACTAATAATCAAAATCCAACGTTCTGACTACGAGCTCTTCCCTTTTGGCAAATTAGGATGTTTATTAGAGAGGAAAGCCCATTCAAGTTCTTTATTGCAAAGATTATCACAAAGAAAAAAAAACAAAGAAATTAAAATCGTTCACAGGTTTGATGGAGATTTGTTCCTTTTAATGGATAAACGCAGCATCTTATCTCTATGAGGATGCAAAACTTGGAAATGCGAGCTGTAACAAAAGCATGAACGAGCACTTTCTCTGTTACAGGCAGAACATAAGAGAGACACAGTAGGATAAGCGTCTCCTGCAAAAACTAGCCAGTCACATGAACGAATGGAAAGGCTCTTTAAGAAAAAAAAAAATCCTGTTTTTCTAGAAAGTAGTGCTTAGCAGCCAGCAAGATTTTTCAGGAAGCATATCACAAAAAATATCAGAGTTCACAGAGAATGCGCCTGGTTACTTCTCACATGCTGAGCAGTCCAAGAAATCAGCTCTAGGAGGAGAGGAAATGGAGAAGTTAGTGCCTGTGAAATCAAAAGGGTGGCAGAAACATAGGGGGAAGAAAAAGTATTTAGGTAGGAACCAGCCCTTCCACTCCATCATTTGAGGGGTGGTGCGGGGGCAGAACCGAAGATATTTTTCTGTTTAAAACTTGCGAGGTGAAAAACTGATAACGCAAAGGGGAAACTCTATGACTTTAAAGTTACAATTTCCTCCGGCTTCCCATTCTTCTGCTGGCGGCAGCAAAGACGGGCTTTCAGAAATCTCAACCAAATTACCTGCCACCCCGCTAGCAGCGTAGCGGGAGACCCCAAGGCGGAGGGTGAGCCCCGTCCTTCGGGCTAAAAGCGAGCAACAGATGCCAGCGGGGCTCTGCCGCTCCGGGGATGGGGAATCTGGGGAGGGTGCGTTCGCGGCTTCTTGTGTGCATATGAGTGCGTGTGGTTACATTACACAGCTGAGCGGGGCTTGGGTGGGTGTTTGCGAACGGGGCTCTGCTGTCTGTCCATGCGAGGAGTGTTGTCACCCAGCTCTGCAACACGCTGTGGAGCTGGGATGCGTGGATTATAGCTGGAAGGGCTGAACGCAATTCTTCCGAAAGTCATAAATCAAACTCTTTCTATGAATGAGAATGTCATCAAAGAGATCAATTGCAGGAACACATGCACAAATAAAAATCCTCTTACGTATTTGCCGGGGCTGGGGATCCCCGTCTAAAACCATTAAGTGAGAAGGCGTTTAGTCATAATTCACTTTTATTGCTCTTTTAAAACAACAGCTTGGCTGAGCTGCGGGCGGGCGCGGTGAAACCTCGGTCCTGGTTCTTCTTCTCTCTGCTCCAGCCATGTCCCTGCGGAAAGCGAGCAGCCTCATCGGCATTTTAACTCCTTTGCCACTGGGTTAAATTGGATCACAACGTGCGTGTAAGGGTTGGGGTTTCTTTTGTGCCCGGATTTCCGGATGCTGACAACGCTTAAACCAACCCAAATCAAACCAACAACAACAAAAGAAAATGTGCTACAAGGTTGCAACTTTTCATAAACTGCATTTAAATAAATGGGAGAATTCAGCGAGTAGGAGCCGCCTCCGTGTCCCCCGGTAAGCCCTGGGGCCACAGGGAGGGCACACTCCCACGGAAAAGCCTGAAGTGCCGGGATGGCCCCCTCGGCCCCCGTCTCGTGGCAGGAAACGCGGAGCGAAGTCGCGGAGGAGCCGCTCCTGGTCTGCGGGCAGGAGGAAGAGGTAGTAGCTCCCTCTCGCCGGGTTGGGGAGGAGGGAGAGTGTGGTGTGCGTTCCCCCTCTGCTCCGGCCCTTCTCATGGTGTTGCCCCCACGCTTAGTAACAGACAGCAAACCCCCACAGCCCCGTCAGAGAGACAAAGCAACAAGAGACAATGGCATGAAAAAGGGAGAGAAAAAAGGATTTCAGGATGCTGGAGACTGTAAGGAAATTGCTGTGATTCATCGGAATTTCTGGGTAAAATGGATCTATAGTAAAATATTTTTTTCTTGGCTGACTGAAAAGGTGTCAGCCCTTTTATTAGTAAACAGTCCTAATCGCCTGCCTTTTTTCTCTGCCTTATGCCTTATTTATAATACATGGTTTACAAGAATGAAATAAATGTGTTTACATCTGTAACCATAGCCAAAACTGGTGCAGAATAATACCATAAACGCCTCTGGAGTGTTGTTGCTCTTGTACTCCACCCTGGCCCCCTGCAGTTTAAGAAACTGAACCTTTCCAGAGGGCCCTTAGTATTCCTGCCTCTGTAGTAAATCAGAACAAATAGACGTACTGAGTGCACCGGGATAGACGTGTGGTGGAGAGAGTAGCCCTTCGGTTTTGGCTGACAGTAGAGAGGCCTTGGAGATGGCATGGGATAAGGGCTGACCTAATAGCAATAGGAGAGCTTTGCACCTCGGAGAGAGTTGTAGTTCATGTGGGAGGGAGGAGCTTGAGGGTGAGTATGTAGGGGGGGGTGTGATCGTGAGCAAGGAGAAGGGGCAGGGTAGAAGAGCCTTTTGGATTTCAAAACAAGCAAGAACTGAGCGTGAGAACAGAGGGACGTAAGAGTCGGCACCTGCAGAAATAGAGGGAGCAGCCCCTCCTGGGGCTGGTGGCATCCATCCATCTTTTTCCAAGGTTAACGTTTTGCAGGATGTCTTTTGAAGACTTTTGCTGCCGTCCTTTCTGCCTGCAGATGGCTGGGTGCACCGGGATGGACGCATGCCCGGCCTTTGCCTCCCTTTTCATTTTCCCCATACGTAAACCGAATATGAGGTCGTAACCCACATCTCACAGCCCCTCCTTCTCTGGCCACGGACCCATTTTTTTACCCACCTCCCCAAGGAGCTGGGAAGGGGTGGGTTTGAGTCGATACTCAGCGCGGTTCCCAAGGGTCCTGGGGCCGTCTCTGCCACTGGCCATCTGCCATCTCTCACCACCGCCGACTCGAGTGGAGGAGCGGAGGAACAAAGGGGCC